TGAAAAAAAGGCAGGACAGGAGTTTTGAGTAAAAAAAAAGGCAGGATGAGCAACTTGGCAAAACAAAAGAAGGCTGGATGACAATTTATGTAAAAAAATCAGGATAAACTACTAGTAATAAAAAAAAAGGCAGGACCGAATAGAGTGAAAAATAAAAAGGCAGAACAGAGATTACAACTAAAAAAAAAATCCAGGACAAAATATTTCATCCTAGCCCTCCATAAAAATCAAATGGTAGCTCCCTTAATTTGACGTTTATCAAATTACACTAAATATGAGACTGGTCGAATTCAAAGAGACGAAATGGTTCCCTTAAAAGGTCACTTTGTTTTACCAAAATGTCGGTTGTGGTTGTTTTTTTCACGAATTGTAGTTCTTTTGCAGCAACTTTGTTGTAGTAGACCTGTGTTCGTTCATAAAAAGTCACAGTCTTCCCTTTTATATAATTTTCATTTTTTAAGCCGTAATTGAATGAAAATATTAGTAACAGATTACGAAGAACGAAAAGAATTTTATCAGTTTGAATAATTTTTTGCAAAAATGACGGACTAAAACAAATAAATCTTTAGCAGCGTCGGGTAAAAAAATTAATTAAAATATGTAACAAAAATGTAAAGCCATTTTAATGTATGTGTACAAATATGTTCGAAGTGGCCAGAGCAAGTTATAGAAATTACAAAAATAATATTATTAAACAATTATAGAATAAACAATAGGTAAAATATGAAAACTGTGAAAAGATGATATTATACACCAATTATTGTTATCATTCATATTAATAATAATAATAATAATAATAATAATAATAATAATAATAATAATAATAATAATAAAAAAAGATAATAATGATAAAAAAAAAGCGAAGACCGGATGAAGATGCTAGATGTATGTTCCTGATATTCTTTTCATGCAGATAGAATTAAAGAATTAACTAATATGTTGTTGAAATATTGAAATGTGTGGTGTAGTAATCTTTTTACTGTGAAATGTACAATCAAAGTTTATAGAACAGTTGTAATGATTATAAAAATGTTTGAAAACTTTTATATCTTCACAGAGTTTATCGATATTATTGAATTAGGAATTGAATAAGGAAAGATAAAAAAAACACATAAAACATTATTCCATGCTCAAGTTGTTTTCTTTTATTCACTGTTATTGAAGAAAAAACTAGTGGTCTCGGATCAACGCATTTTTTCCTTTCGTGTTTCTGTTGTTCAGATCAAGGTGTATTTCTTGACAGATAGTCTGATTAGGGACAATTTAATCTAGCCAATATGATTTAGAGGTAAATTCAATTAGGTGTTAATAGTCATATGAGAATTAACGGTAACATAGTGTACATATGTTCACGTATTCTTCACTAATCACTCAGCTGTTAATGTAGAAATGGGAATAGTTTGCATTCAAAAATTCACGTAACATATTTTTCTGGATACGTAATATATATTTATCATATATGAAACTTTCACATTGGTGTCGGCCAGAGCGAATATGTCTGCAATAAACATGAATATATCAGAGTATGGGTTTTGCTCATTGTTGAAGGCCGTATTTGAGGGTCGCACGCGTAAGATGGTCTATAGTTGTTTACTTCTTTGTCATTTGGTCTTAGTTCAAACAATATTCAATCAGATAAATCATCACATAAAAATATAATACACTTGACTGAATAAATATCTAGGATTCAGAAACTAGCAAAGTTATTGTTTATAAATCTTTCTCCTAGTATACAAAAATGCACTTATTTGTCAAAACGTAAAATAAGTGTGCTTTGCAAATAGATATGTAAATATGAAAAAGGTGAAAAATATAATCGAAAGTAAAAATAGACATGAAATCATTTTGTAATGTATACAGTTGGAAATGCTTGTGGTTCTTTTTTGATGATGCACATGGAGCATTAACATCAAGGATTAAAACGTTTGCTTTTGATAAAGTATTGTTGCACCTAGGTGAAAAGTAAAAGCTCGTCTGAAAAAGTCGAAAAAATTGGTGTCAATTTGGACAAATGGCTAAAAAGGAAGCCAATCGTTCACGTCTTAAATCGATGTGTATTGGACAATGTATGGAAGTGAGAATTTGGTCTTTTAGTAGATAGTGGTCTCATTGGCAACCATACCGCACATCTTTATTAAAAATAACTCTACCATTAGTATAAAATTTTGCATCTCGATATCATAAAAAAGTAGAAATGCTCTTGTGATATTATTTTCATCGTTACCCTTTAGACCATATCTTTGAGAAGCCAAATTCTAAAGCTTCATAGAATAAAAGAAAAAGACACTAAAGAATAATCCAAATACCAAAATTATTCCAGAACAGAACAGCCAAAATTGTCAAAGACCAACCTTATGTAGCTAGATACCATACAATGATAAAATTTGTGTTTGAGGACTGAAGTGAACATGAGGTCAGATGTATAACATCTCGTAGTGCCTGTAATTACAATCACAATGAAGACATATAAAAACTATCATTATTACACTTAAATCTTACAAGATCATTCTGCGAGAATCACAATCAAATAACTATAATACCAGTATGCAGTTTCATAAAGGTCTTTCGTTAGTGTTAAGATGATCTTATGTCTTAGGATGCCGTTGTAGAACACAGGGCAAAATGTATACCCTTAAAATTGCGACTGAACCCAGAACCCATGCAGGAAAGGCAATACGTTACTGTTGTACGTTTTACAATCGTCATTTCAAAAATATCTATATAACCAGATATAATATGCCAGTGTTTGAAGAAGTTGTCATTTTTGAGACAAGGAAATTCAAAGATTTCCTAATAGGGTTTAAGATTATGTTTTTAATCTTTATTAGATTACTTGGCATTGAGGCTCTCGTTTTTATTACCAAAACTTATAATGAGTAACGTGAATCTAAAATCAAACGGTCCTCTTTTATTTTGGGATATAAGTCATGTGATTGAAGAATGGCGTTTTCATTTACAAATTTTCTTTGCTTTTCCGCTTTCAAACAATCTAAATGTTTAATGTTAAAAGCTTACTACTATTAAAAATTCAGTGCCACTGCAAATTAAGTATTCAGGTGGTAAGTGACATGGATCTTTGAAATTCGCTGTACAAGACCGACCGTGCGAGACCCTCAGGGTTAGTCAAGGTCGTTAAACACCCCCTAGTAGTACTGGTCAAGACAATTTTCTGCTTCCAAGGATGTCCGACAATAAACTGCAAGTCATGAATGGGGTTCTGAAAACTTAAAAAATATTTAGTTTCATTTGCAACTACTTACTTTTGTGTTACTCCGAAGAGAAAATCTAACGGATTTATGATTGTTTTCATTTAAAATTTAATGACTGTTCCATTTTGTGCGTGGGCTCTTATACTTTTCAATGTCTATGAATACCAAGAGACACATAATAAACATTTCGTTAAATTAAAAACGTTTTACATGTTACAAAAATGAATAAAAGGAGATGCTTATTCAGCATAATAACAATACAATTCGTCTTAAGATCAATTTACTGATTTCAATCCAACATTGGTATCAACTAATTTAGAACCCGTCGGTCTAGATGTGGGCTAATTTATACATTTACATATATTGTTAAGGACCACATAAATGGTGACCTTTGGTGACCTTGATTATTTTATGTGTGTCGTTTATTTGCTTTCTTAATAATGTATATTCTTTTATTTAAATGCCTTAAATTTCTTAATTTTGGTTCAACTCTTTGTTGTTTAAACAAAACAAAAAGCCAATTTTTGTGATTTTGTCACTTTTCAAATGCATAGTGTTCTTTTGATACTTTCAACCAATATCGAACTGATTTGAAAATTCTTTCCTGTATTCTTTTTTCGTCCGTAAAAAGGGTCAAAAATGAGCTCCACCCTTTAAATTTGTAAAGTTTTTTTGTTAATAAAGTGTTCGTAACATTAACTTACATAGCCACTGTACACAATTTCGAAAACAGAGTTTTCGTCTTTTAAAATTGAAAAAAAAATATTCTTTCCGGAAGCTCAAAGCTAATACTAATGAAATGGGATCAAAAAGTTTACAGAGACGTTTTACACATAACACGAGCATTGTTGGCAAAATATTTATAGAATTCATTGACATTCTCTGAAAAAGCTTTAAAAAAAGAAGCTCTCCAAGGCTCAGTTGCTTAAGCTTTCACAAATAAATCTTAATTTTCCAGTCATTGAAATACGTCAGTGGATTGAAATCTATTAAGTTAAGGTAAGAAACGTTTTTCCTTTAATCTTATATGTGTAATTTCTCAAGCTAGTGTTACGCAGGTACCTTATTGTTCTCGTTAACTGTAGATAATATGAATAAACAGAAATTTTGGAGTATACGCCGATGTAGCAGAGACCCAATGACAAACAGCTCTTTCAAAACAAAAATATCTCACATAACAGAACTCGAGCTCTGAAAATTAGAATGTGATTACATAAAGTATTGAACAAATATTTAAAATTTGGGAATCATTTTAACATGGTGTTATTTCAATAAATTTTTAATAAGGACTTTTGTCATTTGACTACATTCTTTTTGTTGTCGCGTTTTGAAATGAACACGTCATACAAGATACTTTGTATTTTATGTTCCATGTCCTTCCAATCAAGTTATGATATTTTTCTTTTTTGAATAATAAATATACGTATTTGTAAGTTTGTTTTTTTTCGTGTTATGAAATCAAAGGTGAAAGTATTAAAAAAAATATTTTGAATGGTTAAAAGAATACATATATAGGCTGCTTAATTATCCGAAACTTATTGATCAAGGACTTCTTACTAGACTAAATAATTTCTTTTACGATATTTCTATTAATTTTAATCTTTGTGACTTTTGAATAGTAATTATCGATTATGCATAATTCAGAATTTCCATCAGCGGAATAGTTTCCGTTAAACACATGGTCCGGCAGGTAATAACAGGTAACACGCCTTCCTCAGCATCACAGAAGGTAACCAACCAATCAGAAACTTCCAAAGGAAATTGATTAACAAAACTAGGTAACAACATTAATGCTACCTTAAAAAGTTGGTCAGCAAAACTCAGTTATTATTTACGAGAAATTTACCATTTGAGGGGACAAGACACGTTTTATAACCCTACTTTTTTATCCTGACTCCCTCATCCAGGAGCCTGACCCAGTGGCCATGTCGTCTTACGGGTTGTACCACCCACATCAGGTAGGAAAATGATTTCTTTCCTAATTCTTGAATCTTTAATAAGGTTTTATACGTCTTCATCAAATGTTTAAAATATTAAACAGATTTTATATTAAGTGACATTGAAGTCGTTTCCTCTTTACAGATTAATCATTTACATTTTCATTAATAACTGAGTGGAAATGTTCTTACAATGATTTTATCTATTTGTAGATCGGACATTTGCATGTTCTAGTATTGTTTGATCAATTTATTTTTATTTCTTTCGGTAGTCACTTTGAAGTGAATTAATGTAATATTGAAGATTGGCGAATATAGCAAATTTTATATATCTATCTTTGATTTTAAAAGATTTCATATCACCTTAATACTTAAGTAGGCAAAAGTACATATGCATACTAGTTTCTTGCTCAACATTGTTTTTGTCAATGGATATATGGATCACGAAAATACCAAACCCTTGACGTGAGTTTTAAATTCGAATGTTTCTCTTTTTCTAATTTACATTAACGTAGTATATATGTAAAATATATATATTTCCAAAATGTTCATCTCTCTCTATATACATATTATTTATTGAATGAACCAGTGTTTGTAAATTTATTAAAGTAGGTTCAAATAAAGTACTATAGTATATACTGAACAATCACATAAATGTGTAATTCTTCCCTTCTGTCAATAAAATCACGGTTAAAATAATCTTGATTTATTAAACAAATAATCAGAGTAACAGGTGATTTATCAATTTTTGTATCTGCAAAATTATTACAACAAATCGGTGATAATTGTACGCTTAATTTCAAACATGAAAAATCCCTTATGACAAACATTTTGTTTCCCCGGAATGATTCTTTCCGGAATGGGTCTCTACGGAGCATTGCGTTAGCTAACCTCAAATAGCCAAAGTCGCTGCACTTGCAAACTGCAAATAACCACTAGCAATTAATAAACAATTATTACAGATAACCCATCCACCACGTGTCTGGAGAAATTTGTATGTTTAACAACTTATAGATTTAATCAAATTTTATAATTAATTTTGCATTTTTGTTTGTCAGTGATTAAGAATAAGGTATTATGTTGTGTTTACAGCCTGTAGGCCAACAGATTCATTATTTTTACAATGTATTTTTTATATGAAAGATTGAAATGCTGAACTTTTTTTAAGGCAGACATTCCGTATTATGTTTATTAGTGTAAAGTACAAAAATGATGCAGCTTTTTTTCAATGCATCAAGTGGCTATCTGTACATTGACAAGATCGGCACCTAGTTTTTAGATCTGTAATTGTGTCAAAGCCTATACTGGAGTTACCAGAAAATAATCAAACAAACAAAAGCGTTACACTCTATAACATACTTTTTAACATATCGTTTTAAAAATTATACTTAAACTTTGTTTAATGGTGAAAAGGTATGTCGTATAGGCTGATGCAAAAATATTAATAAGATATTGTAAACAACAGAAAATTATCTAGTTTTCATGCGCTTGCGAGCAATTGTTGTTTTTAGAGAGACAGTAGTCACCAATGATCATGGTAACGCGACTATTTATTGTGAACCAAAACAATCCTAGTAGCTAAACATATTTTTTAACCGTTTTTATCATGATATCTAAAAGTCAAATATATTTCTTTAAACAAAAAAACCAACACCGTGTATCATGATATTAAAGTCAAAACTATTTCTTCCAACAAAAACAACAAAAAAAACCGCCGTTACACATTTAAAATATATAAATATATAAAATAAATCGAGCTTTATTTTATGTACATCAACTTATGAAATCGACTGATTGGTTGAAAGCTGTTTAATACCATGACGACTTGTAGAGGCTATATCGCGATGACTGGAATAATTCGTCATGCGAACTTATAGTTCAAAGTAAGAAGTTTCCACTCCGGGAAAGTGGGATGTGCTACCCATTGTCCCTTTCTGGTTATTCTGCAGTTTTGTATACAGAAAAGGATCTTAGTTATTTCACGTGTTCATTTTATGTTGTCATAAAAATGCATAATGATATATGGCCCTAGTTTCTGTCTTCTGAGATTTTGTTTTGGCTGTTGACATATCGTTTTTAATAATCTATCTATGGTATTAACTTGTATAAAGGAAAATGAAAAAAAAAGACAGCAACCGAACAGCACATGGTAACAAAAAACAGACTTCTAGATGTTTAGTGTATATTTGTGTGAGAAACTTTCATCATATACCTCAAAATTTTATGCAGTTTTTGGTTGAATTTAGAAGCAGTTTTATCTTAATTGGATTATACCTTTTTATATATATAAAGATATCTCTTTGCCTGCAATGTTCTAGTCAGGTATGAAGCAGTTTTAAGATTTCTGATATTTAAAAAGCAGCTCTAGAAGGTTGAAATTCAGAAACAGGGGCATTTTTATCACCAGTATTTTTCTATAATCTATATTTTTCGACGAATCTGGTGTAGCTTCATGGTTTCCTGGCTATGAATAAAAATGCAAAATATGATAATCAGGAATAATTTATGATAAGAAAGCCACTGAACCAAGGGTTTATAAAGTAAATGTGAAGTAATCTTTTCATACTTTACTGATGTCATCATGACCATATTGACCACTACGGAATATTTGTCTCGCAGATGACCACGTCTATGGTCCATTTAACACAATGGTGTCCTCTTAATTCTCACCTTTCAAGACTATCACAAAATACAAATATGGACGGCTTTTACTTATCAGGCGCAGCGCGCCGGTTTTGTTTGTTGTTGTCGCTAGTGAGCATGAAATCGACTGACCCTACCGGAGCGCACCTGTTCTCCCTTGGTGTTTGTGGCGATCATATTTTCCAGCATATAGTTTTCTTTGAATTATTTGGGAACATTTTTTGTCATTTTGTCTTTTTACATTTGTAAATGCTGTGGTTTGTCCTTCGTCGATTTTATTGCACGTTGGTATAACTCTCCTATTTTCGTGATCATGATTATGATAATTTGCTCACTCTGATGTTATTCTTATATTATTATTATTGAATTTTTTTGTAACAGCTCTCATGACTATGTCAATATTCATATTTTTATATTCGGAAGTTTTTGTTTAGTGTTTGAAGGTTAGACTGTTTCTAAAATTAGCATAAATACGATCCCGGGCAGTTAAGATCGTTAAAAAGTTACAGGTCATTTTGTAAATCATATTTGCCAGAGTTTTGAAAAATGCAAAGTTATTATAACACAGTCATACAGAGTGACACTTGTTGCCTTGTTGCAGACGGCGTATTTTGCATTTTATTTTAATCATATATTTAATACCTACCGTTGGTTTAAAAAAAATAAAAATAAGTATACCTCTTTTTGTTGTTGTTCATTTTATTGAAGTACGAAAGTTAATCTATAGGAAAAGTGTTTTTTTGAATATGTATGAATTCATAGTTATCTTAAATTTTGCTCTAGTTCTGTTTATTCTATTTTTAAAGCTTTCGTGATTACAACTAACGTCTGTATGGAAAAAATGAAAATATTTGCACTACACTTGCGGAGTGTTAACTCAAATATAAATGAGTAAGATGTTATAAGCCGTAACTGTTTAATAGTAAATGACATTTTGAATTTTTAAATTAGGCAAAGAAAGGATATATACCACGAACATATCAATAATGATTGTAAATGATTCACGCCTGATTTCAATTTTATTTATATAAATAAACAATACATAAAAGTAATAAGAAAGCTAAAAAAGGAGTATGGTCAATTTCTTCTTCTTCATAAAGTCGCAACATCCAAAATATTCCCGCGAGAATTTCCGAATATTTAGACTCAGACGTATGTTTGTCATATGCTACGGCAGCCTTTTGTTAAATTTTACGATGTAACGGCACGGAACAGATGATATCCTACCACTACACCTCTGATGTAATTTTAGATGTTCATTTCTTTATTTCTATAAAAAGTTCAATCATTAAAACCATAAAACACAAATTTATGGATAAAAGAACTGAATTTGTCAACGGTACAAAGAAAAGGCTATCTTTGTATCATGTTAAATGATCCATGTTGGAGTGTGCCTAACACGAGCCGACAAAGGCCTATAGGTGTGAATCTACCGTTTGGCATTGTTTGTATAAATATATCAAAACAAGATTTTCATTCAAAACTTATAAAAACAAGCATTTAATTCATTAATGATCTGTCTAATCCAATCATAATGTCACGTCTCATTGAGCACGCACCTGTCCACTTTTCATACCGTAGCCCCTCCCACAAAATGTATAAAAACAGATCAAATTTATTGTCAACTTATTTAATAATTCAACAGTAAACAAATCAAGATGCTTTTACTACCTGAAGAGAATCTAACGGTATTTAAATATTTTTTTTTTATCAATTTTAATAATTTGAATACTTTATCTATTAAACTTATGTACATATGTAAATTTTAATATTCGTTTCTTAATAATATTAGCAAATGTAAATGAATACAATAAGTATGATTAAATCATATACTTATTTCGTAATAAAAGAAGAAAGTTTCACGGCTTTTATTTACAAGTTTTAATTGGATATTTAATATAACTCTAAATTATTTCAGACGTTGACAACGTTAGGAGGACCCCGAGATTTTTCTGGAGGTGAACATGAACAATATTTGTGGAATAAGGTAAGATTCTTATTGTTTTACTTTTAAATGAACACGTGTGTATACATGGTGTTACGTTATTTTGTGTTTGGTATAAACAAAATATTTTGGATGACTCCAGTGCTGTAGATTTATCTGAACATGCATGAAATATTTTCCGTCGGACGTAAGTCCACCTCCTTGCTGTTATTATTAATTTTTTTTAAATATAATTAAATACACACGTTAGTAATAATTACAAATACGGGAGTGACAGTTCCGTTACACAATTATGTAAAATTATCGTTTTTAGTATAAAACATTTGTCGTACGGGGATGATAAAAATTGGTATCTGTAAAACAGTTAATAGCAGGTACTTACTTTGCGCATCGTGTACAAACAAGGAAACGTTATTTTATTTAGTTTAGAGTTATTTCCCTTTGTTCGTAAAATTTAGAGACTGATTGAAGTAAAATTCTTTCATTATTCTATAGTTTCATATTAATTCTCGATAAAATAATGTATATTTAAATGAAATTTCAATCTTATATCAAATATCACTTCCTTTAAAATGTTAAAACGAATGTACCGGTACACTGAACTACAAATTGAATGTTATTCAATGTGGAAAGAAAGTAACAAAATGCAATCTTTCAAATGTTGCGATATTCAGGATAATTTTTATTACAAAAATATACGTTAACATTAACGAGAGTAAGGCGAGACTCAGACATTCGAAACCCCCTTCATGAATGTCTTAGCTGATTTTGTGAACAGAAAAGGGAGGGGGTTAAAGACATTCAAGTCTTTCCAACCAATACTTGAAAATAAACATTCTTATATAACTTATATAATTTTTTATTATTATATAACTTATTTGCGCTGCTAAGTAAATTACATTTTAGTTTGCAAAAATAGTATCATTCGAAGATCTAGGATCAAAAGTTTGTTCTGGTCGAAATAGCTCAATTCCAAATTTGTAATAGTTTTGAATATATGCGCATATAAAGCACCCATCAATTCAACAATTCCATAAATTGCTCGTATTTTATACAATGTTTAATACCTATGATTTAATTGGATTTAAAACTGTTAACACCCTTGATGCTACAGTTTAAGCAACAAGATGTACCCTAATATTCTTCATATATAAGAACAAAGGGTTCAGTGCATATAAATAAGAATTATATATTATATATTATATTTATAAATTTAATGTTAATGGAATCAGGAACAGATATACTGTTCCCAGATGGAATACAATAAAGTACAGTTTACAATTACTAATCCGGAAATAATTCTTCACTACCCATCTGGTTTTCTATTTAGATGATCGTTTGTATTCTTTTTTTTTTTTTTTTTTAAATATAATTGATTATAAGAATCTTCAAGTTACAATTAATTGTACATATTATTTTTTAGAAATAAATCCCATTTGGATTTAATACCTTTCTTTTCTTTTAGAAAAATAAAATAAGATCGATATTTTAATCGTCCCGGATGAGTTTACGAATTGACATTTCACTCCTTCCAATAGAGTTTAACCTTCGGAGAAACATGTGTTATATTTATCTGCGATCAAATTTATTGTATTGGTTTTATCCGTTATGAACAGTCGATCTGATCACGATAAAACTAACATTACTGGCGACCTGAGTGGTTTAATAGGAAAACTCATACCTGATTAGAAGAAAACGATACAAAATAATAGGGAAATTGAACATCGCCTGACATGTTACCTAGTAATAAAATACTAATTATCGACAATACAGGGCTCTAACTATCATTTTAGATCTGTCTTTCTTGATGAAACAAATATAAATCTTGAGAAATTAGAAGAACAATATAAAAATAACTGTTGACATGTGCGGGTGACAACTATTGTTAGTTCATTTTGTTTTCCCCGCATCCCTATAATTAGAACAAGCACAAGCTAAAACCAAAGGTTAAATTAAGCAAGGAAAGAAACAGTTCCACAACTTTCATTGTAAGATACGATGTATAATGAATATACACAAACTGCTTTCAAAGCTTTGCACATTTAAAAAAAGTAGACACACAACAATAGAAATATGACACAATAGGTCAAAAGGCCAAATACTATAGACGGAAATTAATACATAGAAACCATCGTCTTTTGATCTATTACTCTATAAAATGTTTGTTAATTTGGATTCGGGTCATTAGGGAGCTTTTGGTGACCTGGGGCTGGGTCCATTAGATTAATTGCTTTACTTGCTATCATCCCAGGATAGCATTAATTACATGATACATCGAGATCTGCTTCTAGGGCAAATATTACACATATCATCCATGTTTACTTAATTGTAGACTGTTGATAAATCACTGATCCAGGTAGCAACTTAAGCTTAAACGATAGTAATCTGAACTGTAGGTCTGAAGGCTTCATGGTATAAATCCAAAAGATCTCGTGTTTCCTTTTTAAGTTGCCGTACAAAACTAAAATTACTAATTTGACCCGTGTCTTTGTTCAGGAAAAGGGTCAATTGAGGCGAGAGAGAGAGATAATAATAAAGAGAAAGTTCTTAGCAATATACTACAGATGGAACATTTAAGAACTTTATTTCAGACACATAGTACAAATGTATTAACCAAAATAAAGCTATAATAAACATTCAACTATTTATATATTAATTAATACATGCTATCAAAATCTTCAGGGTATGCTATGAAATAGAAACACTTATTTGTATTATATAATGATGACGAATAAGACTTTTAATCGAGATGATTGAGAACAAGGACATTCAAATATACCCTGACCTCTTGACTTTTTAAAATATTGTTTTTGTGTCAGTTGTGTCTTTTCTTAAATCTTAAACCAATAAGGTCATTTTTTTATTAGCACAACGATCTTGCTTAGACCATCTAACATACTAGCACGCGGGTGCCAAAAAATAATAAAAGAATTTTAACTCAATCATTTTTGGTACTGTCATCGATATAAGACCTAAGACACATTTTTCTTTGCATTTCTTTACGTACTAAATATTGTTCGCTCCAAATGAATTTCGTGGACACTAAAAAAAAACTTCGACATGTTAACTAATCAAAATTTTATAAGAGAACAGTAAAATCAAGGAGGTTATATAACCTCCTTGGTAAAATAAAAACATGATTCTCTTATGGATGTGGCCTGTTATCTATTTCTTGCATGAATAGATATTTCTCGTATCACACTGCACGGAGTGTGATACGAAAATCTACGTTAATTTGATTGGCTTATCCAGCATCATAAGACGATATTACGGCATTTCTATTGGCTATTCGTTAGGTCTTTGATGACTTTCAAGGGTTAAGACGAGGTACATTTCGTCCATGGCAACGGACATATGTGATTTCTTCAATAATATACAAAACACTCACAAATTTCACCTGACAATCTTCTTTTTGTCAAATTTTATTACATTCTGAAGCGTACAAAAAGTCTTAAAATGGCTGATGTTAAAGTTTGACACCAGAAAAGGACATATGACGTCATACTGAAATGTGCAAAAGACTAGATCAACATTTCGCGGAATTTTAAATGTAACACATTGAGAGTGCTGACCATAAGAGAAATAGGTTTAACAACTTGTGAGAATTGGATATTGCTTGATATCAACTCTCGTTATTTAATTTAAATAGTAATAATAAACTCGCCGAAGTCTCGTTTATCATTATATTGAAATTAAATAACTCGAGTTGATATCAAGCGATATCCCATTCTCACTCGTTATGAAACCTATGAGTATCGACCTAAAATGTGTAAGAAAAGTGTAAAACATTTCAAAGAAACACCTGGATTTTCATTATTACCTTGCACGAAAATAAATGATTAAGTTCTCTGTTCTTGCAGAAAAAGTGGTCTGCCGAAACAATAAAATGTTTTTTTAATTAATGAAGTAATTTTTTTAGCACACACGAGTTTCCGACACTTTTGTGAAAATGTTCAGAATTTGTCATGAAATAACCAATAATTCTGGCTCTAATTTTGTATAATGTGAAGACCTCTGCGTTATATACTATGTTTAATTTGAAAGCAATTAAGATTTTTTAAGAGATATTTCAACCATTGTTTTCTGCAGATGCTATTTTCTCGTTCTTCACATTTAAATCAATTTGTAATAATACAATAAGATTTCCTTTTTCTGCGATTGAATTTTTATTCCGAAATCGCACAATTGGTATTTGAAGAGAAAAATCTATTTTTCTAGACATTAAAAAATTTAAAATATCACATTGAATATGAACATATTTGAAGTATTTTATTGCCCGTGTTTTAAATGACGGATGGGATAATGTAATTAAGTAATAAAGTAATTAAAATAATTAAAAAAATCCACATGACGGACATTTTGGTGTTGTTCTTTTTGCGGGGAAGCTCAAGGGAGTGGTTGGGCTTCAGACAAAATACAAGCATAAAATGATAACATTATTTTTCATATAAATCAAATTGCTAGCGAAGTCATTGGAATGAAGTTGTTCATTTTTCAGAGAAATTTTATGTTTTTTTTGTATTTGAATCCGATTTTCCAAAATAAATGAGTCATGGTGTTTTATATAAGGATTGGTTGAGACAAATATAATTGAGCAATTAATTGTGTTTGTAGTCACTATGTGTCTTAGAAAAAAAGAAGAAACACGAAAAAATTATGACAGCAATTTTTTATAAGCAATTTTTAAAAGAGACCGTATTTATAACTATATTATCAAAGAAAGGGGCGAGTTTCTCGTTACAAAACATCACATACTAACTAACAAAACACTGTTATTAAACTGATGGGGATAATTTATATCATTTACAAATCTCAGCAAGTGCTCGGAAATTGAAACAATTAGTTGAAAATCCAGAAGACATTTTAACTCTCGTATTACTAATATCCTTCCAATGAAATCTGATGAAGTTAATTGACGAATTGACGTGTTGTAATCTTGTTCTCGAACTTGAAACATATTTGTCAATAAAACCACAGGACAAAACTGACGGTATTAGGAATGTTACATTGTCTTTCCCGGAGTGTATTTATAAAGCAAAGGCACCCCTCCGAGATTCAAGATGAAGACAACTACCGGATGACATCTTAATTAAAATACATTACTGTCAAGTCAGTATGAAAATTTGTCAACTTTCTCAATTATTTCTTTAATTTACTCAGTACCAGCAGAAAAAAAAACGTAAGAAAAAAAAATAAGGTTAGTCAACCCGGAAAAAAATCGAATGTGAAAAGTCATAATATTTTCTGGAGAAATAAGTAATTAAAAATATATGTTCAATTTGAAAATAGACAATTAAGCACATGTTTTGACCTTAAGAACATAATGACAATTTTAAAGCACTCTAATTATGGTAATCTAACAAAATTGCTAGATACTATTTCAAAGAAACCCCATGGGTTAGAAAGAAACATTTAACAAACTGGATAATGTTTTCAAAGATACAGATTATGTGATCGATGATCTTCATCAAATCACATATTGACGGAAAATATTGCCACTACCACAGGCACTTCAACTAAAAAATAAACACCTTTATAACGTTCATCAAACAGAGCAGTTCTTAAAGAGAGCATGCGCTACTTGGAATAAAATAAAATGCCACGTGATCCAAACAGGTGCCGTACAAAACCAATATCAATTTCTATAGTACCAATTTGTATGGAGTTTGGCATTTAATAATTTTAATAGAACTGGCTTATATCAGTATAAACAATAGGCCCTAGGCCTCTGTAAACATTCTAATAGTTTGTGCCAAAATAGTGATGCTGAATAGCCAAAAATCTGTTGGAATTCATAATTCATTGAATCCAGGACATGTCCCGGGGAGGTATTCCCCACCCTACCGACCCCCGGACCGTGTGCGGTGTATGTCAACATCGTCGGTATGTATATACTATATGTTTAATGAAAGCTGATTAAGTATTCTGACCTAAACAAGAACGCTCGGTTTCATTGTTCAACATGTTTCATATTTTATGAAGTAAAGTCGCGGAAGATTGATAGTTCAAAAATATACCTGGAATTTCCCTTATAATATTTATTTTTTCCAGTTTTGCCGAAACGTTGAATAATTATAAAAAATTGAAAATAATTGAAAAAGGAAACCTTTTTAAAATGGAAGTTTATATTCCTAGTTGTTGCTGAAGATTAATTTCTTAAGGTAAAATATTTATTGGAATATCGATTTGAAAAGTGTTTAAATAAATGTTTCTTATTTATTTATTATTTCATATTTGTTCAAGGACAAAAAATTGCAAAAATTCAATATACAAACTCGCAGGAACTAAATCCGTTGAAAATATAATAAGTATGAAATTGATACATATATGTGTCAGCCTTTTATGTAAGTTTTTTTGTTTTTGTTTTTTTGTTTGGCATACTGTGATATTATTTCTATAAAAATGGTCAATAAATTTTCAAGTGAACGTATTTTGTTTTAGAATTTAAAATGTTTCTCACAAATTATTTTCAACCTTCTGTCAAATGTTTGTATATAGATCACGATTTAATACTTAAATTTAACATTTCAATTTCCCTAATGTCTATGCTTGTAAATTTAGGAATGTCTTGTCGTTATTTCGTTCTTCTTCAACTTTTTTCTTGATCGTATTTCTTTATTGGGAAGGTTGAAGAAAATTATAAATACAGCATCCCAACTTGACATACTTCAAATATATTCATTTTTAGATCTATAAAAGACATCTAAACAAATCAAAATGTTTACGACTGTTTTAAAATATTGATAAAATATTTTAAGAGTTAATAGTTATGTACAGTTTCTCACAAAGTACTACACATTTTTGACTAATCTATTTCTTTTACACTCAGTATTCTCAGTATTTTTAAATGTCATCTCCTTGTCACAAAAGCCCTCTTGCATATCACAACTTGACCACGAACTTGTCTGGATTTTTCCGCGTTAATTTATCGGGAATTTTTACAGGGGACATTTTTTGTTTGTAAGCTTTGACAAACACTTAGCAATTAAAGAATTAAGTGGTTGTCGTTTGTTGCTCTCTGTCATGTTTGTTTTTCGTTTATTGTTTCGTACATAAATCAGGCCGTTAGTTTTCTCGTTTGAATTGTTTTAAATTTGACATTTCGGGGCCTTTTATGGCTTACTGTTCGGTATGGGTTTTGCTCTTTGTTGAAGGCCGTACGGTGACCTTCTGTTGTTAACTTCTACTTTATTTGGTGTCTGGTGGAGAGTTGTCTCATTGGCAATCATACCACATTCTTCTTATTTTTTTATTTATACTTAGTTTTGCGTTTTTTGTTTTGTAATATTATAAAATTGTCCAGAGTTTTATTTCATATTTAATACATTATATATTTTAATGTATTTGCAGGGAAATTTCTTTGATGATGGTTTGCTTACACGAGCTGAAGTTTTGGCAGCAGTTGATATTTCTAAACAGTCTTCACAACAGTTGATGAAGCATGATATGTATGGGCATACGGCCGACCTTGGCGGTCATAATGTCACTCCTTCAAGGTCGCAATATCATTCTGGATTTGGACATTCAGACTCTATGTTAGAACAGCTAACATCAAGTTCCGGTATGTCTTTAGGAATGATGGACCACCATAATAATGTATCACACGGACTATCACATAATCACCATCAAATGTATCCACCGGTTTATTCGCATCCTAATTCTATGAATGGGCATAATGGCTTCCCTACTCACCATCCAGTACATCACCCTATGCACGACTCAGATTGTGACCCTCGAGAACTGGAATCGTTCGCAGAAAGATTCAAACAAAGAAGAATCAAACTAGGAGTAACACAGGCCGATGTAGGTGGTGCATTAGCAAACCTAAAATTACCTGGTGTTGGTTCATTGAGCCAGAGCACGATATGTAGATTTGAATCACTGACACTTAGCCACAATAACATGATAGCACTTAAACCAATACTACAAGCCTGGTTAGAAGGAGCCGAAAAACAAGCAAGAGAGAGACTAGAGGCTGAAAACGGAAGTTTAGCTAACGACAAGAAACGTAAACGGACTTCTATTGCTGCCCCGGAAAAGCGATCTTTAGAGGCTTATTTTGCCGTACAACCAAGACCTTCAGGTGAAAAAATTGCACAAATAGCAGAAAAGTTGGACCTCAAGAAAAATGTTGTTCGTGTTTGGTTTTGTAATCAAAGACAGAAGCAAAAAAGAATGAAATTTTCTGCAGTTACCGGTTAAAGACAGCATCCCAAAGCTAAAGCACAAAAAGTGTCTCGTATATATAGCTAATGCGTATGTTCGTGGTATAAATACTGTGCAATTATGCATTGTGACGTGCTCTGCACAAACAATGACGTCATATGCAAATTATAATTATACCGAACAAACGTTTTGATTTACTATATTATACTTTTATACAAGGTGAAAATTTCTACAAATTTGCTTGGACAGCAAATATATATACATATATAGTGTGAACATAATTTTTACCATTTCATTGTACATAAACATAATTTAAGTTATTTATTTATTAACATTATTTTTGTTTTGTTAACTTTTAAACGTAGATGCTAAACAGTTTTGATGACGTTGTGATGTTTAATAATACATCTCATAACATGAACATGTAAGAAAAACTCCATGAAAAAACAAATTCATACGTCATTTTTCAATATAAAATCTAGTCATTTAGAGTATTCACAGAGTATTCAATTCACAATGAGCTTTAATCAAAAGACAGCGGCGAAATATAACAACTATGTATAATGTAAATGCATTAAGATATCAAAAATACTTTCAAGTTTAAAAACTATAATTGCAGACATATTGTATTTCTTGGTATTTTTTTGTCTGATTGTTTTTTGAGCAGATACATTTGTCACCAATGTGATACAATATAATCCCGTTTCTGTGTCATTATTAGATTACTAACAGACGCTAGTCTCTTATTCTTAGCTATCTAATTAATTTAAAAACATGCGATATTTATGTTATTGGACCTGACGCCTGTAGCAAGTTGACATTTTCATGATATTTCATTCACTGCTATGTGTTTGGGGTCTTTTGAGACCAATTCAGATCTCATATTATTGTTTCAAACTCGAATGGATTACAATGCAAGTAAAATGCAGTATTTTTATTTCATCAAAAGCTGAAGAAGTTTTTTTTCCAAATGTATGCCAGAAAACGTCTACTCGTGAATATATGTATATGCTAACGGATTAACTCAAATAAAAAAATGGAGAGTATGAAAATATACGTTTAAGGGACATATGTTCTTTTAAATAATTCGTCGTATACTTGAAAAAAACTATTTAGGCTTCAGATAAATATTTTAAAAAGTTTTTGTTAGTTTTGCAAATATATCTAAGGAATATAAATTTGGATGAAAATTTAAAAAAAAAGAACAAACTTTTCTTGATATTCTTATTTCAAGTGGTGTATTCATAGGACAATTTTCATTTGAAAGATCGTTCTTTGGAAAGTTTTCTTTTTCAAACTGATGAGTTTGACCGTTAATAGCGTTTGTTACAATGTTTCCAAGATCTGATTGTTTGATTGATAATCTTTGTAGGAACAAGATATAATTATCTAATGACAATGCGATCATAATGTAATTGAGATCGTAAACACAGTAAATTCATCACTTTTACTCCGACAATTCAATTGTTGACCGCCATTGATTTTCCGGAAGTGTGTCCGGAAGCGATTTCTGTCATTATGTTCACCTGCAATGCATTAGAACAATTTGTTACAAAGAGCCATTGAGCTTTTGTGGTTGTATTGATCATCTAATGTTTAATTTTTATGTCTCAATTTTTTACGTTTACAAACTATAAAATCAATGGAGTTTTCATTGTTACTGAAAAATAAAGTATTTAAATGTATAAAATGTTTTCTTTCTTTACAAACTGATATATACTAACATACATGGGCGTACACGGGAAAGTTTTACTTAACCTTTTCCTGTTTAATCCTTCAAATATGCATTTAATGATGAGAAGAAGACAAATATTGTTCTTTCACTGATTGCTTCATGGAAAATAAACAAAGATAGACACAGTTCAAATGGAATGACATTAAAAAGTGCAAAGCATGTAAGGTATTGATTTTCAGTATTTTTATGACTTATTGGAGTCATTTGAAAAAGTAAAAATGCCAAACTCTAGACATTTAAACAAACATATTATATAAAAAAATACAAAGGTAACTTGCATATTTTAAGCAATTTGAAATAGATCTAAGAGACTGTGAATTAGTTATAGACATGATTTATAACATTCTTTTCTTAAATTCTCCGGTGTTCAATGGACACTAAAGTTCCAGCACGAGGGACAAAGTTCACTTTAGACGAATTTGGCAATACTTCACGTCCGTTATGGTCATATATTTACTCACGTGTTTAGATATGTATAAGTCTTAGCTTAAAAAAACAAAAACAAAAAAATCACGGGACCCTCTTGAAAGCACTAATTTCAAAGATGAATATATACTCGCCGCAACATGTCCTTTTTGAGCTAAGACGGCGTAAAGAAAACACTAATCAATTAATACATGTGATATACATTTAAAATGATTATTTTGTACATAAATTAGGCCGTTAGTTTTCTCGTTTGAATTGATTTACATTTGTCATTTCGGGGCCTTTTATAGCTGACTATGCGGTATAGGTTTCACTCATTGTTGAAGGCCATACGGTGACCTATAGTTGTTAATTTCTGTGTCATTTGGTATCTTGTGGAGAGTTGTCTCATTGGCAATCATTCCAAATCTTCTTATTTTTATATATCATAAAGTAAACAATCTAAACAAACAACTTTTCCAGAAACAATTGAGTTATACTTGTTAATGACTGCATGTGGTTATGAAGAAGTCAGCATACTAAAGCCGCAAGTCTTACTATAGACATATGCATCAGTATTATTTTCTAATTATATACACCATTACAACTCGTTACAACCAAACGGACTATCCAAATAAAGGACAAATTCATATAATCATAATGTAATATATATGATGATATGGTATGGTTGCCATCTACCAACCAAACACCAAATGACAAGAATGTGAACAACTATACAGGTCACCGAACCCTTCAACAATGAGCAAATCTCATACCGTACTGAAAGTTATTAAAACCATAGGAATACGAAATATAAAACAATACAAATTGAAAACCAACGGTCTATTTCTATACTTAGAAAATAAATTGAAAAAACCCAGACACAACTTGTATACATGGAAAGTGTATGTGTCAGATAAAGAAAATGAGTTATTATGCATTTATTCAATCTTTTAACATATTTAATTGTTTTTCTGTTTTCACCAGTAAAATCAATGTTGAATTATAACTTTACGATTTATATATATTTACAGTTTTGGGTCTTGTTTGCAGGCAGTACATTTTGGTCTATATATTGAAGGTATTTTCCCATTCACAACAGTTATTGGAAACGAATCTTTTGGACCATTTCTACAGTAACTGTTGTTTCAGATATTCAGATATTCTTATCTATCACATCCGAAAGTCTTACATCGTTTAAAAATACAAAAAGAGGGTGTACTGTAAATATTTGTTTGGTTGTTGGATTTTAAGGCCACTATCGTCGACCTTGGCGATCTGTTTTTATTGATGGAGGAAGCCGGAGTACCATTACAGAACCATCGAGCTTCAGCAGTAAAAACTGATAATTATTGAAAACTAAGATCGGAAGATTCATCATGTTCAGCCTATAAAAGTAATATATCGGTTGTCCACTCTTGACCAAAAATTTGCCAGCTGCGGAATCGTATTTTCTGAATGATTTACATTATTTACTAATACTGATATGTGGCAGAGTCTTTATACATTAATATCAAATAAATAGGCCGAAAACATAAAGCTGAAGGCACAATACAAACCAAAGCCCTAGAACGACAAAATCACTGGTACCTCATTTGTTAAATTGTGTTAAAAGGTTGATTCGGGAAATATTCCTTTACAACGGTTTAATTCTTTTAAAGGCAACCAATGATTCCTAGGTTTAAATGTCTATTGTGATAATTTGTTTTAGAAGAGATGTCTTTCACATATATATAATTTTTAATTGGAAACACATATAACTTATACAATTGCTAATTTTATATACCTAACAAACATATGTTTGATTGGCTATTAACCTTTGGTTTCACTGAGAAGTATATGTGCAATAACCTTAGTAAAAATATAGTAATGATAAATTGTAATAATAACATAATAAAGGAAGTACCCCCTCGAAAAAACAAAACTAACAACAAACAAACAAAACTTTGTAAGATAGGACGCACATGTATTCAACAGCAATCAAGGAACGGTCATAACATACCATATATGTATGAAAGAAGACAGCAAGACAGTAACCCAACAACTCAAACAACTAGAAAATCAACAGTATAGACAGTGTTCTTCACATTATGTTAGACTCTTAATCATCCCATTCTAAAACGATGTGAATAAAGTTACAGAGACTAACCCTCGGAAATTCCATTAACATCAGATTCGCTTATAAGAAAAACAGAACCAGACCGGTCGACGATCCCGGAAAAGGACACGAATTAACACACAACGGGTCAAACTTGACCTCTGGACCCGTCGATTTCAACCGCTACAAATGGAATAACAAACTGCACGTCAAAGGAACGACCACATAATAAAATGAGCACATGTTGAACAGTTTAATCAATAAAAACGTAAAAAGACCTCAAAGAGAAGCAAACAATATTAACAATACCACATCAAAGTATTCTAAGTGACTAAAGCAGACTCGAATCACCTAACCTGTTGGTATGCAGTGTGGGAGACACAACGTGAAAAACAATAAAACTTATATATTTTGAATGGACGGATATTAAGTTTCGAGGTTGTTCGTGAAATGCTTTTTTATTCAAACCGATTATGAAGTTTTATAGAAAAAGGCCAAAGTTGGATAAAAATCTGTCTTAATTCTACTAAATTTAAGCTTGTTTTTCCCATAAGCATTTTATGCCAAATGAACAGTTTTTAGCACGTTCCATTAATATGATATTATCGTCATGTCATAATGTCTCTGATTAAAAATAGCAGACACTTTAATGTTAAATGTGAAAATATTGCTCATTACTTTTAAAAGTAATTCAAATGATTAAATGAATTGATGTAGTACAACATTCTGTCAATAAGTTTAATGATAATATTATATTTGTATGGAAGGCTGTTTCGTCAATTCCCAGGTGTTGTCAGATGCATTAATGGAACCTTCCTGAAGGGTTAAATTCCGTTATCTCTCGATATTACAATGAAAATCATAGGTTTTATTACAGTCTTAATTGGTGATAAGTTTGTATTATAGGAAATCATAATTGATATGTACAAAATTGTATGTGAAACATTTGAAATTTTTAATCGGTGGAATCAAACTAGTTTGAAAAACTTTCTACTTCATCAACTTATGTTGGGTCGATACCGCTGCTGATAGACTGTTAGTCCCCGAGGGAAAGATCAGCTAGTTCGCGAGGGAAAGATCAGCTAGTCCCCGAGGGAAAGATCAGATCAGTAGACAGTGCTTCGCACTGCGTGAATTATAAAAAAAACTATTTTAAAATTCATCGTTGATAAATTACGGAATTCCAAGGTTCCAAGGCAACTCCCTCAGGCAAAGTTGATCTTAGATTAATTTGGCTATTCTTTTAAAGTCCCATTCTGTGTTGAAATGCATCGTCATTGATATGGCCATAATTATATATCAACTGCTTACAAAACTTTGAGTTTTTCGAACACTACAAGAATTTTCTGCATTAGGAATATATTACCTTAGCTGTATTTGGCCAAAAATCTCGGAATTTGAGTCCCCAATGCTTTTCAACTTCGTACTTTATTTGGATTTTTTAACTTTGTTGATTCGAGCGTCACTGATGAATCTTTTTTTAGACGAAACGTGCGTCTGGAGTATAAAATTTTGAGCCTCGTATCTATGATGAATTTATTTGGTTGTGTAGCTCCTAACGTATTCTATATCCTGAATTTTCATGTGTTTAGGATTTAGCGTTCTTGATGAAGGCAAATCTAGAAAATCGATTCGTACGCATGAAATTTAAAAAATGTTACTTTTCATTATATTTGTTTGCTTTATCATATGTAATATACGTTCAGCTTGCGGCTTTAAATTTAGTGTGTTATAGTAGTCTCAGGTTTAAACAATATTTTATTTTTTAAAAGTGCACAAATTACAATTATACAATAGAAATACGGGGATTCGGAAACAAGAAGAACTTAAATAAATCCGTCTCCCTTAACAAAATGACAACATTGGGAGCATTAGTATAAAGAAACCCGCTGTAATGGCTTTAAATTTAGGTAATCAGAACTAGGTATTTTCTTTTAAAATCGATATGTTTTTATATCCTAAATGAATAAAGTTAGTATCAAAAACAATAATCATGAAATAAAAAGATTCAGGAAAAATATTTAGGGTTTGAAACTTCTGTTCATACGTGTTCTAAACTACCGAAAAGGTCTCAGTGAAATTCTTTTTTTCACTAATAAACATTTTCAAGAGGACTTTTACAGTCATTTATTTTTAATGTTCAATTATTTAAAAGTTTCACTTGTTTCATTTTTAATGGAATAAAAATAAATGACATTTTCTGGGTAGTAATTGCCGAGTGATGTATATCTCAGGTACATTCACTTTGTCGCTGGATCTTGTCGGCTCTTAATAACACAGACTGCAAATACACCAATAACAATGAAAGAATGATCATTATAGTTAGTACCTGTTCCGTTTGATGGTATTATACTTGTTTGATGTTGCGAATTTCTGATCAAAGTATTGATAGAAAAACTTAATGAGGGGTTTACATAAGTAGAACAAGTGCAGGATGTAGTAATTG